GAGATTTGATATCAGGTATAGGTAGGTAGCGGATGTCAAACTCAATAATCTCAGTAGACCACTTGATGAGTGCAAGATGCTTTTGACTTTTGTAGGATACTTTTTAGCGATAAATTTATGTAGACTTAAATTAAATGGGCATGTAAATAAAGGCATAGTTTTCTAGCAAAGTAAACTAATGTCAAAGATATTTTATCAACTAGTAGATAACATCCCTTTATTTAAGATAAGATCTTACTAACTTAATAGATGGGGCATTATACAATATTTTCTTCTTGTAACAAGATCGAACTGATAGCTTGGGCATAAACAGTCATATATAAAGATATTTTTTCTCCTAATATTGGTTTAGAAAGTAGTTACAAAGGTGCCAAATACTTTCATAGTTGTTCGAAGGCCTCTTGGCATTCATCGATCTATTAGAATCTTGAGCTACGAGCACCTTTGAGTGTCTTGAAGAAATGATGATATTTGTCTCCTAAACGGGCCAGAAAATGAGACAGTGTTATAATCATTCCATTTAATTTATGGAATTTTTTTATATTCTTTGGGGGCACCATGTCCCTTATTTCCTTGATTTTTTCAGGATTGACTTCACTTCCTCGATGGGTTACCATAAACCGTATGAACTTTCTAGATGCAACTCCAAAAGCACACTTGGCAGGGTTGAGTCGCATGTTATAGCATCATAGTGGGTTGAAGCATTGTTCTAAGTTATATATATATTGAGATATTTTTAAGACTTTTCACCAATATATCATCAATATATACTTCCATAGAGCACCAAATAAGGTTTTTGAAAGCCTTATTCATAAGGCGTTGATATGTGGCTCCAGCATTTTTGAGTTCGAATAACATCACCAAATAGCTATATAACCCTTTATTTGTTCAAAAAGTCATTGCATCCTCATCAATAGTACGTATCCGTCTTTATTTGATTGTAGCGAGAGTAGGCATCCAAAAAGCTCAGCATCTGATGTCCGAAGGTCGATATATCGACCAACTGGTTAATATGAGGAAGCAAAAAGCTATTTTTTGGGCAGGCTTTATTGAGATATGTGTAATCTACATATTCTCCAAACTCCACTTGCCTTTCATACCATTATGATATTTAACAACCAAGTGGGTAGTACACTTCCCTTATAAATCCATCTTTCAAAAGCTTATCAACTTCTTGCTCAATTACTTGTTGACGATCTGATGCAAAATTTTATTTCTTCTAGATTATTGGCTTGCATGTCAGGTTAAATTTTAGGGAGTGTATGATTACTTAGGGTCAATTTCGGGTATATATACCAAACTTCATGCAAAAATATCCTGATTCCTATAAAGAAATATATTTTTTTTTCTTCTCTTCATATGAGAGAAGAGATCTGATCTGTATAGTACTTAAAGGGTGTTATTCTGATATGGATATAGAAGTGAGATCTTCTACGGGAGAAGCCATATGGGGGATATCCTCATTCTGGATATCAAAATCTTCAATGCTCTAGGTAATTGATGGCCACGATTGAGACTGCCTAAGATTACAGGTTTGTGCTACTTATTGATATCCACATATAATATTGACTCTCGCTAGGGTAAGAAATTTCATTTTAAGGTAGGAGATGGAGACGATGATTCCAAAAATTGACTAGAATGATTTTCGAAAAAGAGCATTATAAGTCGATTCTTACTTTACTATAATGAATTTGATAGAGTGTTTAGTATGTCGAGAAAATTCTCCAGTTACAATTGGAAGACTGATTGTCCCTTCTAATCGTACAGGTCGATTTTCAAACCCATACAGTGGACCTGCATCAAGCTGAATATTATCTCTAGTAAGACCCATATTTTAAAAAGTAGAGTAGAACAAGACATCCACGGAGCTTTCAGTATAATCAAGAATACTTTTGACGTTATAATACGGGTCACCAATCCCCGCATTAATCACAATCGAATCTTGATGAGGGATTTTTACTCCCTCCAAATCAGAATTGTCACAAGTAATATATTGATTAAAATGAGACTTCTTTGGTGTTGAATTTTCATCTACAACTAATATGTAATATCAAAATCTGCTCCAGGATCGTACAGGACGATCTGGGATCGTCCTGGGACGATCAGTTGAGAATTTGCTCCAGAATTTGCCCAGATTTGTTCTAGGTGTTTTCCTGTAGGCATCATCCAGGCCGATCGAGGACATCGGCCATGTAGAAAATATCGGCCGGAAAATAGTTCTGGGAACCGTCCAGGACGATCCAATTTGGTCTGATCGTCCTGGGACGATCTGGCGATCGGCCTGGCCGATCTGAGTTTTATAAAGCTGAAATCAGTCGTTTGAAGATAACCTTGACTGATAATCCATTCAATTTCATCCTTGAGCTACTTACATGCTTCGGTAGTGTGACCACGACTACGATGAAAATGACAGTATTGATCCTGATTTTTTGTATTCGGCTTCAAAGGATATATTAAGCCACTACACATTCTACTGATCTCAGATGATCATCAATACATTTACCCAAGATATATATAGTGGTGTATACTCGTATCGAGGCTCCCGTCATGGCATTAGAGGCCTATGAAGAAGATTATTCTTCCCTTATTTTTTTCATTGTGAGAATGAATTATTCATGTCAGGTGCACTTTTGCGCTTTTCATTTGTTTACTTAAATTGTTTGTTGTGGGCATTTATGACTTTATCTACAGAGATTAGTACATCCATATGATGGATCAGGTTGGCATATGAATGAAATGTGGCTCATATGACTGTTGAATAAAAGGGGTCAGGACGAAGACCTCCGAGTAAGACTCCTTTCCACAATTTAACATCTACTCGTAAAAATTTTCAAGCCTGAGTGGTAAATTATTAAAAATACTCTTTCAGCTATTCTCTTTCATTTTGGTGGATACTGAAGAGGTGAGAAGAATCCTTAGTAACTTTGATTGATAATAAATTATTCGATAAACACTTTACCTAATTTGATGAATATTGAGATAGTTTTGACTGGAAGTGAATAGAATCACATTCAAGTTTATCCTTTGAGGATAGTAAGAAATTTATGGTAGAAAAGCATGTTTGAGGCTCGCTGGATATGCATAATGATTCTATAATGATCGATTTGATATTCTTCCATCTTTCAAATACGTTCTTCTAGGGAAGGTCCTGAAGTTCCTTCTCTAATAGCATTTTTTCTCCTAGGATAAAAAGAGACTGATACTTCACTTCCATGATTCATAGAATAATTCCTGGATTGGTGGGTGTTGGATTGGGAGGCTCCTAAGATGTGATTGCTACGTCTATTGGCCATTAAAGAAATACTTCCCCAAACAATGCCAAATTATTGCGGGTTAGAATATACGAGGCAATAAAGTTAGAAAATTTTCATCTTAGTGTTGTGCGAATATCCAACACAGAAATAGATGGAAAATTTAACAACAAAATTTTTATGTGAAACCCCTGAAAAAGGAAAAAATCACGGGGCCACGACCAGTCGAAAGGATTCCACTAGTGTTTGCTTTGATTACAAGTGGCAGACTCATCCCTAAAATTGAGGACGGTTATATTATAATAATCAACTCCCAAATTGAAATTTAGTTGCAAATGGAGACCAAAAATCCAGCGACGTTTGGTGGCCGGCAGAAATCCAGCTTCAATTGACGGTCAGGAAGAACTCCGGCACCAGTCAACGGCCGGGCAGAACTTCTGCATCAGTTGGCGATCGGGCAGAACTTCAGCATCAGTCGGCTGCTAGGTGGAAATCTGGCGGTGCTTGAGGGGTAGTCTTGTGGCAAGAAATCTCTCTTCCTTCCCTTCCTTTTCTTCCTTCTCTTCTTCTTTCATTGCTTACTTTCTCTTCTCTTTTTGCTTGGGTCCCCTTTCATGAGAAATGAGAGGTCTATTTATAGTTTTATGAGTGGCATGACTAGCAAATAGGTGGTAGATCAAAGGTAAATTATGAGTGGTTTGAAATGGACGACCGATGTTGAATCCCTTGATCATGGGTCGTCTATTGGGCATTTGAATGTCTTTATGATATCAGAATTTAGTGATCTTAGGATCGTTGGATTCGTCTCGTCGAGCTGCTCGATTCGATTTTAAGTACGTTACATTTGGAAATTGCTTGATAATCCGAATTATGAATTGAACCTTCCAAATGCACATTAAGGTCATCAATCTGGACACATTTGGGCTCGAATTGAGTCGAATTTGGCGTCGTTGGGTTTATATTTTCGAGATATTCAATTTGAATATAAATTTACTAAAATCGAAGTTCAAATAGTCTCTAATTTAAATTTAAAATTTTAACTTTAATTTTACCTCCAGAATCGTGACCAATATACTTGTTTGCTGATATATCAATAAGGAATACTAATTTTACACCAATATTTCTTTAAATGCAGAAATATCGTTATAAATTTTCATAAAAAATAAGACAATGTTACTAGAACTTATACTGAAATTTAATTTAAAATTGCTTGCCAAAATTTCATAATTAAAGTTGTATCAACACGAGATTTTCCAACAAAATGCTTGCTAAATTGTCTACACCTTGTCAAGGGATGACGTAGTATAACTTTTATTTTATTTGTAATTTTTTTTTTTTTTGGGAAATTTTATTTGTAATTTCATAAATAATTATTCTTTTTACATTTTTAACAGTAAGCAAAAAATAATAATTTTTGTCAAATATTGCATGCCATAAATCAAGTTGGTTTATTTCAAAATTCCGTAATGTTTTTGATATTTTCCCAATAATGAGGGTTTTTATGTAACTAGAATTTCACCAACCCTTTTTCACTTTAATAGTAAATTAATGTAGAAGTTTAGGCTTTTTAATATTTAGAACAAATTAATCACATAATTAACGATTTATTTACGGAGGTATATATTAAAAATATACTAAATTCTTTCATAAAATTTAATCAGGAGTTGTTTTTATGTATAATAATTATAATTAATCTAATGACTATTGAATTATTGGGTTCTGATGTTCTTTCAGAAAAAGACCTTTTTGTATTATAAAGGAAAAACTGTGCCGCCATTAACCACAAAATTTTTTTTATTACAATATTATCCTAAAATACAGAGATAAACGATGAAAAATAAGAGAAATTAACACGCCACGTCATCCAACGTTGCGTGTCCGAATTGAACTCCGGAAGTAATAATTTTCCCGGCTAGGTGGATGGTGCGGCGGATTCTTTCTCCTCCACCACTTTAGCCACCGTGGCCTCCAACATCTCCTCTTCCCCTTTCGCTGAATTCAACTTAGACTCCATTAAAGCTTGAATCAAGTTCGTAAGACAGACCTCCACACTTCCGGCGACTTCCGTTACCTTCTTTGGCATCAGATTCTCAGCCACATCAGCCGGCGTTATATTCCTTTCCTCCAATAGCCTCTGTATCTTCTCGAACAGAGTATGCTCATTGATCCCTAAATAGTTCCTTGCCAGAACCTTAAACCCTTCGAAATCACAGTAAGAAAGCTCAATGTGCCGATCCATTCTCCCCCTCCTTATCAGCGCCGGATCCAGCTTCTCCACAAAATTGGTCGTGAAAACAACCAGCCTCTCCCCACCGCACGCCGACCATAAGCCGTCGATGAAATTGAGAAGCCCTGAGAGTGTGACCTTACTTTCTGTATTCTCCTCGCTTCCTATCTTCTTCTCCTCCTCTTCCGACTTCTCTTTCTCCTTCTTCCTCTTGCCGGAAAGATCGAGAGAGCAATCGATGTCCTCGAGGACAATAATCGCCTTCCCGCTGATCTCGAGCAACAGCTTTCGTAAAGAAGAGTTGTTCTTCACTGCGGTGAGCTCAAGATCGTAGACATCGTAATCGAGCAGATTAGCCATGGCGGCGATCATCGTCGACTTGCCGGTCCCGGGCGGGCCGTAAAGGAGATACCCCCTTTTCCATGGCTTGCCGACACGGGAATAAAACTCTTTTCCACGGCTGAATGCAATCAGATCATCGACGATATCGCGCTTCTTCTCCGGATCCATGGCGATGGTTTCGAAAGTCGCAGGGTGCTCAAAATTGACATGACTCCACCCCAGCTTTCGAAAATCATAGCTATCATAACTGGTATTGTTCGTATAAAGCCGTCGCACGCGGTTTTTGAGGCCGATGGCTTTGCCTTCATCGAGCACGTGGCGGAGATAAGATTCGGCGACGAGGTCGCGGTGTCGGCGGTGGAAAGAAAGGCGGTAGAAGCGGCGGTCGGGGGAAGAGGGGTAGAAGGAAATAGCATGGGATTTCGAAGGAGCGATCTGAGAGGACCAATACAGTTTGGCGCCGGAGAAAGAGTCAATGACCTCCTCGTGGTCGTCCATGGCAAGGATGAGGGTGGAGCCGGAGCCGGAGCCGGAGCCGGAGCGGTCGGAATCCGCCTTCAGACGTCGAGCGTGCTTGGAGCAAGAGGAAGCGGAGAGGTAAGATTCGACGGCGGCGTAGGCCTCGCTACGCTTGAGGCGCTGGCCAGTGTACTCGAAGAAGGTGATCTCGATGTAAGGATAGAAGATGGAGACGAGCTTCATGGCGTGGACACCCAAGCGGTCACCGAGAATGCTGGAGAAGTACTGCCGGAACATTGCCCACAGGAACATTCGCGCCTCGCAGAGCAGAAGCCCCATCCGCCCACTTTTCCTCCATCATTCCTTTTGCTTTTCTTCTCTCTTAGCTCTGGTAAGGGTCTAGCGCCGCCTAAAAACACGTATATCTGGGGCACTTTTGAGATAGGAACAGTCTACCGTTTCAAATTCCGATTGCAGGTGTTATTCACGTTTTATCTAGTTTTATTTTCAAAAAATTATCTCATTTTATAGTATAATTCTTGAGGACAAGCTATACCGTTATATTTATATTATGCTAAATATTTTCTTTAAAGAATTTAAAAATTTCCAATGCCGAAACTTGACTTGCCGACGACCGTGAACCGATGTATCCAAGCAGGGTTGTAAGCACACTTTGCTGGACGAAGAAAGGCAATCTAATGAATAAATTTATAAATGTTATATGTAGACATTTTAAAAAGACCAATATCGTAACGACGTGGGTTTTAGCTTTTTAATCCATTTATTTTTATTTTCTTCGAAAAATACGAAAATATTTGAGTTTTGTAAAAGTAATCCAAAACTTTTTTCATTTTCTATAATAAAATATAATTTGATATAAAAATTGACCAGTATAATATTCAGAAAGTATGTATAAATTTAAAATGCTTAAATATAATTTAATGATGCAAATTAGAGTTTAACAATTGTCTTGATTAAAGGGGTACTGAAAATTAATATAAATAAATAATACAAATAATTTTTTTTCTATTTAATTTTTAATGCAATTTATATTATTTTTATGTCAATATTTATTTATTTATTTATTTTATAATATATTATTTTTATAAAAAATATATTTATAATTAAACAATTAAAAGTATTCTAACATGCTTAACTAAATACATCATCACTAAAAGTTTTGAATAATTAAATAATGGAAGTAGGGGTATCAATTTTAGGTCACGGGTCAGATTCGGGTTGAACCCGAAACTGATCCGGCACTATTCTGGTCAACCCGAACCCGACCCGCTTCGGGTTCGGGTCAACCCGACCCGACTCGATTGAGCTTCAGCAGCGGCATAAAACGGACGACTTCGGCAGCCGGCGTTTGACGTCGGCTTCGTCATCGCACGGCAACGGGCTGTTTCAGCAACTCGGCTATGTTAAAACGGGGGCAGTCTGGCAGCCGGGGCAACCAGGCAGCCGGGCACGTGACAGCTGATCACACGACAGCGGGGGGCAGGCGGGCATGCTACGAGGGTAGTTTCCACAGCTCGATGCACGCGGGCAGCCGGGGAAATCAGGCAGGCGGGGCAGGCAACGCGAGTAGACGGGTTTTCCGGGTCATTTCAGGTCATTTTTGGGTTTCTGGGTCAACCCGAACCTGACCCGGTTTTTACAAAAGAGTCAATTTTTTGGACCCGAACCCGACCCGCTTCGGGTTTGGGTCAACCCAAACCCAAAATTTTCATTGCAGGTTCGGGTCAAGTTTTCGGGTCTAGTCAAATATTGACACCCCTATATGGAAGGGTTCAAAGTATAAATTAGATGGATAAATGATAAACAAATATAGCATGCTTACAATCAAATCGACCAACTCGATGAAACAAATCCAACGAGCCCAAGAACTTTTAATTCCAATATCATTAAGACAATTAAATGTTAAATGAATGCTCTATAATCAAGGGAGTTAATATGAGTCGTCTGATGGAGCACTTCTAATTTGCCCTTGATTACTCCATAATTGTGGAGCATACCACTCTAAAAAATCTATAAATATAACCCACTTCTCACATAAAAGAGGAGCTTGGACCTTTTGGCTCGAAATTAAATAGAGCTTTGAGGCTTCAAGGTGGAGCTATAAACGAACCGAGCGTTTGACAAGTTACTAGTGACTCGGCTCAATAAGAGTTCAGTTATGTTCTTTTGATAAGCTAAATGAATGAGGTTGAACACCTTTAATAAATAATTGAAAGCTAAATGAACGAGCTTGAAGTGCTTGTCATTCGGTTTATTTATTTTCACGAACAAAATCGTTCAAAGCTTGTGAATAAGATCATTAAGAAGCTCGATTAAGGCTCGTGTTCATCTCAAATTGTCTTGAAATAAATAAATAATTTAAAAATAATTATTTTTAAATTAACTTAACTAATTTAATAATTTAATTCTCTCCTAATTTAATTAACGTTTATATTTAATTCATATTTATTTAATTCACATTTTTTATATATTTATTGACATAAATACTTCCATGTTTATTTAATTCAACATGGATAGCCTTCACCTTTTTTGATGTCCCGCCCGACTCTCTCTCCTCCACGTCATCACTAACAAAAAAGTGTCTGAAGTTTAGCCCCACACCGCTTTTGGGTGTTTTGGATGAGAAATTATTAGGTACGGAGTGCGGACGGGAGAACCGTCTGCACACTAGTATAAAACAGTGTTCGGTACCGTTCGGTACCACTCGGTACCGCTGGGTACCGCTCGGTACTCTGTGACTGTGCAGACGGTTCTCACCCCGTCTGCACTCCGCACCTAATAATTTTTCGTTTTTTGGATTTGTTCTGTGTAAGTAAAAAAATGTATAGAACAGTTAATGTTCAGTAGGGTTTATGGGTTGACGGTTTTTAGGATTAAGTATATTTATTTTGTTAAACTAGCCTCGCTAAGGGCATCTCCAACCGAACGCTAAACGAATGTATGGAGTCATTTCGTCACTCCAACCGAACGCGAAAATTTCCACCATTTAATCGCATGTGAACAGTGCGACGCCAATATTGGCGTCGCACTGTTCACTCACGCCATTTTTTGCTCTCAACCGGAAAAACGCCCGAAAGGGAGAGCAATCGTTACCTTCTCAAAAACACCTAAAATGGCGTTCGATTGGAGCATCACCGCGCCATTTTGGAGTTTTGCGTTACTTTGCCGTGAAAAATGAAGTTTTCGGTTGGAGATGTCTTAAGAGGCTCGACAAACCTAAAATGAATCAAGCTTGAACATGTGTTTTTTAAATTAGTTTGAGATCGAATAGAGATTGTTGATCTAGTATTTCATGCATTTGCCCTTGATTGAGCCTCGTCGGGCCCGATTCGACTCGAATCAGTGTCGATTTTGATTCAATTTCATCGAATTAGTTCGAATGGATCAAATTGGACCCAAATTGAGCCGAACCGAGTTTTCAAAAATTTGATCAATCTTATAATCAAATACACCAAAGAGAATAATATATCATATCAAGATATAAACATAGTTGATATAGCATAATATATATATATATCTTGATCTGGCATGAATCTCAAGGGAAAATCAAGGTGGAAATTTCGAAAATTATATTGGAGATCATCTGAACTCCGATTTTAGCAAACTTATAGTTGAACTGAACGTATCGGAAATATGGACCCAACAACACCAAATTCGACTCAATTCGAACCCAAATGAGTCCAAATCAAAGACCCAAAGCGCATTTCAAAGGTTCAATACATAATTTGGATTGTCAAACAGTTTCCAAACATAACATGCTTATAATTGTATCGAGCGGCTCGATGAGACTAATCCAACGAGCCCAAGATCTCCAAATTCTAGTATCATTAAAACATTCAAATGCCCAATAAACGTGTCATGATTAAGGGATTCAGCACCGTCAAATCCATTCAAACCCCTCCCAATTTACCCTTGATCTTCCTCCATTTAGTGGCCATGCCACTCTATCGCCCACCAACTACGATTCTTCCGACCTTCGTCGCCCGCCTACTATGATCCTTCCAACCAAATGAACATGTCAACCATGATTCTTCTTGTTTCCACCATGTAACACACTCTATATGATGTATATTTATTACATCAAGCAAAGACCTTCCCTCCAATGAAGGGCGTCATTTGTAATCAACTGCAAATACCAGTAGATTTATTCAAATTGGGCTATGCCCTGTGATTTTCCCATTTTCAGGGGTTTCCACGTAAAAATCTTGGTATTTCTTATAAATACTACACACCCTATTTTTATCTGTATGCATATAAAGCTAAGACATTAAATTTTATATTTCTCTACCGCCGTGAATATTCGAGGACGCAACAATAGTATTCTACAAGGGATTTAAAAGTATGAATGAGTTTTAGAAAAAAATGTAATTTTTAAAATCAAATACAACAATAAGAATATCATATCATTTGGGGAGACAATAATAACATTCTACAAAGATATTTAAAATAGAGATAAGTTTGAAAACTTAATCTACCTTGAAAGAGATTTTTCCCTTATTTTCTAGGAATAAAATAGGGTTTATTTTAATATTGAGTTCTCAATTCTCCATAAGTACAAGTCTCTTTGATTAATTATATCTTAAGAGAGATACTCTAGCTCATGAAGACTCTAGATTATTTTGAGTGCAAGATTAAAGACAAGGAAGAAAATAGAAAATCTTAAGGAGAAGGTTGCGCACATGAGTTTCGCCCCTTTTTCTCTAGTTCGAATCGAAGGGTTGTTCCCCTCTCTACTTCGTTTCGGCAAGGATTTGCATACATGCTCTCGATTCAGCCAAATGGGGGAATATCTGAAGCAAAAAAAAAAAAAGTGGAGCAGTCCATATGGAGCAGTGATCCGACTTATCAATAGTAGTATATACTTGTCAATTGTTCTTATCAGTCTCCACCATCTCCACTTTCCCTTTGGCTAATTTCAACTTGGATTCCATTAGAGCTTGAATCAAGCCCTTGAGACAAACCTCCACATTTACAGTGATATCTATAATCGTCTTCAACATTAGATTCTTAGCAATTTTTGTTAGAGAGAAATTATTCTAAATGAGTGGAAGAGGATAAAAGCAAGAGGAACTTCTATTATAAAATTTTCTCTCTTACATCCATATGACAAGACTCGATGCCTTTTTATACTAGTACAAGGACATTTCTAGAAATATATTCTAGAGATTTCTATAATAAATACTCAACAACCAACCACCAAAAGTTATTGCATTTTCTAGATTTGTCTTCCATACAATTTACTAGATACACAAAAAACTTAAACATTAATTTTGGTTTATATTTCCAACACT